CGTGAAGCTCTTTTCTTAAAATTAGCTAAACTAGGTATCACTGGCAAAACATTTAATGTTCTTAAACATATGTATAAAAATTCCACTGGCCAGATAAAACTATCTGGATTTGTCAGCGAAAAATTTGATATCAATAAAGGAACTGAACAGGGTCATCCACTTTCCCCTGATCTATTTAAGATATACATCAGAGATCTTTCCCCTCGACTAGAATATGATAACTGTCCGAAACTAATGAACCAACTTATCAGTCACTTACTATGGGCAGATGATCTGATACTCTTGGCACTGGACCCCAAAACCCTCCAAAAGCAACTCGATGCTTTGAACAATTTCTGCTTGGAATGGGGCGTCGAAATTAATGCAGATAAAACTAAACTCATGAAATTTAATGCCCGTTTTGATACTTATCAGCCGGTTCCCCTCAAAATTGGTGATCACTTGTTAGAAGAAGTCGAGTCATACTGCTATCTAGGAATCGAAATACACAAATCCGGCACATTCACAAATGCCCGAACTGAGCTCAAAAAGAAAGCCATGCGTGCACTTTATGCCATGAAAAGCTCAGTAAACAAATCCAAATTATCATTCCGCTCTCTAACAACACTCTTTGATGGTCTTATTAAACCTATCGTTCTTTACGGAGCGCCTATTTACACACCTAACATGGCTATCATAAAACACATAACAAAACAAGTCGATCTCAATATGGATGCCGACACAAAAACAAAATTTCAAACTAGTATCCTCAAGAAAATTAGCCTTCTGAACAGCGAAAAAGTTCACCTTCACTTTCTTAAATGGTCACTGGGGGTAAATCGTAAAGCCAGCAACGCAGGCGTCTGGGGTGAGTCAGGCCGCTACCCATTAATCTATGAATGTATTAACCTCACTCTCAAATATAGCCAACGTTTGAAAAATCTCAAAGATAACTCCCTTGTCTCCTTAGCTTTCAAAGAACAGATGAACATGAAATTGGACTGGTACAGGGGTTTGGAGCCTGTCCTCGCGCTAGACCCATGTTTCTCTACCGATCATGTCACAGCCTACCGCACACTCAAAAACAATCACTCCAAGTTACTTTTCGAAAGAAACCCGAGTATCGCAAAACCACCAAAAGAGGACTTTCTTATTCACAACGGTTTCAAGAAACGAATTCCTCCTCAATCAACACAACCCATCGGGAGTAAAATATTCACACCACACGTCATTACTAAAACTTTGAAATGTAACTTTAGAGAATATTGGGGGTCCTGTATCAACACTTCTCGGAAATTAGAATTCTATCGTGACCTAAAATCCAAATTTAACAAAGAGTATTACCTAGATAGTGTCATTAAATATGCAGACCGTGCTAATATCACAAGACTGCGGATCAGTGCACATCGACTCGAAATTGAACTTGGCCGATATAATCAAACTCCTCGTGACGAGCGAATATGCTCCTGGTGCAATATAGTCTTAGGTTCTGGTATTATTGAGAATGAAGATCACTTCCTTAACCATTGTGATCTTAACGCTGCATCGAGGCGAAAAGTCCTAGACAAGATCCAGTCACTCATATCAAATCCAATCAAACCGTCTGCGACATCTTATTCTGTTCACAATGTCATCCCTGGAGCAAACGTCCTCAAATTCATCAGCAACAACAGTGAAATCATTGAACTTATCACGAACGAAAGTCAAGTCCACCTCACGAGAGTCGTTGCTAGGTTTGCCACTACGTGTTTTAACAACCGCAAGAAATTTGTTGACTCTCTGGCCAGTACATGAACAGTGAACACTGAAAATCACTGTACCCGCTTTTGTTTCTTTTCGCGCAACGACGAGTGCAAACTGCAAAGTGACCTGGCTCAAGCATTACAGCATTACCAAGGCGACTGAAAACAAAATATTTTATGTCAAATCTTTATTTTTCACTTTAGTTAAGTTATATTAATATAATAAATTCAAATCTTATGATATTGTTATTATCTTAACAGTTACTATTGTAGCTCAAGATTTTAAATTTGTATTCCTTGTATTCCTTGTATTCCTAGGGGGGGGGGGGGGGGGGGGACTACACATAGGGGTGGAGACTACACATAGGGGGGGGGGGGACTACACATGGGGGGGACTACACATAGGGGGGGGACTACACATAGGGGGGGGGGACTACACATAGGGGGGGGGGACTACACATAGGGGGGGGGACTACACATAGGGGGAGACTACACATAGGGGGGCCGGGGGGGGGGGGGGACTACATATGGGGGGGGGGGGGGACTACACATAGGGGGGACTACACATAGGGGGGGACTACACATAGGGGGGAGACTACACATAGGGGGGCCGGGGGGACTACACATAGGGGGGCCGGGGGGACTACATATGGGGGGACTACACATAGAAGGGGACTACACATAGGGGGGCCGGGGGACTACACATAGGGGGGGGACTACACATAGGGGGGCCGGGGGACTACACATAGGGGGGGGGACTACACATAGGGGGGCCGGGGGACTACACATTGCATAGGGGGGGGGGGGGACTACACATGGGGGGGGACTACACATAGGGGGGGGGGGGGACTACACATGGGGGGGGGGGGGACTACACATAGACAGACACTCGTGCTCACTGCGCAGGGCACTCAGTACTGTCTATCAGATAGATCCCGCTAACGCGGGTCTATCTGTAATAGAACCGTTTGCCTGCCGTGTCTATATACTGATACATATGTATATCCACCAGCGTGCGCTTTTTCGCATAGCGGGCTCTCACCAGCCCGCTGTCAAAGGGCCCGATATCTCTACAGCCCGCTCATGATATAGCCCGCTAACAAGTGACATTTAATTTGACCAGTAGCAATATAGCCCGGAGTTCTCTAAAATATTTTCAGTTTCTGTATCGTCTCCATGTGAAATTCCATAAGACAACAACTTACAAGTTACTTAGAACTATAGTTGAAACCGGTTTAATTCATTAACGATGAATTCAATTGCAATAATCGTACAGTGAGCTAATTGGTGTAGTTTCTGTTTCTAAATTCCCACGGCAATATGCAGTGGATGTAAAGAATGTATCAACTGTACACTCTGAGCTCACCCTATCGGACGCTATATCAGTTGTCACGCAGTTTGCCATGATTGGCTCATAATTAACACGTGACACTGACACACTGTTACTATGGTTACCAAATTCGTGGAGACGTCCAGACTAAATTCTAAGCCGGTGATCTCTATTATAGTATCGATAATTGTTTTGTGTTTACCATTTCAGTTGTGTTTACCATTTTCATTTCACTAGTTCAGTCGATAAATCTTGAAATGTAGGCCGAAATTTTACGTGTTATTCTATTGTGTTCCCGAAAGATATTTTGCCCTGTTTTTGTTTTGAAACTGCCATTTAAATTGATGTTATGAATTTGATCTTTAACTTTCATATTAAATGTCCATGATCAGACTGTGATCTCGAGCTCTCTGGGTTACTACTTTTAAGTGTCCAGCCACTCAGTAGCTGCTACAGAAACTGTAGTAACTGGTTACCCGGGTAACCCTGGTTACCCAGGTAACTGACATGATAATGACAACTAACTTGGTAGTAGAGGGCTCTGTGGCGACTGGTGGTGCTTGTTCTGGTTCCAGGCAGGGAGAGAGGTAGAGAAGTAGAGAGGGAGAGAAAGAGAGGGAGAGGAGGAGAGAGGGAGAGGAGGAGATAGGGAGAGAGTGAGAGAGGGATAGAGGGATAGAGGGAGAGAGGGAGAGAGGGAGAGAAGGAGAGAGGGAGAGAGGCCTATATTTTGATCGTTTACATTAAAATATGTACCTGAAACAATGAGCTGAAACATTGTTTGATAGCAGCCGGTTTTTCGTTCTATAGTCAGTCATTTTGGCCTGTTTTACATCTTAAACCAAAAGCAACATGATTTTTTCGTAACTTTTCTGAAATCTTGTACATTAATTTGCTGTGATTGTTGCAAACTGAAGCTTCGTGATAAACGCCCGCTGATGGATATACACGATATCATTCCTCGCCTCGAGGGCGGAACTATAGTCTTAGAAACATGTTGAAAGTAAAAGTGAAACTAAATTAAAAACGGATCTCTTGAAGAAACTAAAGTAAAAACTAATATCTGTAAGAAAAAGCTCACGCTGGTGGATATAATCCACATCACCTCGACCCGCGGGCGGAAAAATCGTATAGCACTCGGGCCCGATGGGCCCTCCGTGCTATACGAAAATATGTCCTCCTCGGGCTAGCGCCCTCGGGGACATATGAAATATTGCACGCGCGTGCGCGTGCAATATTTTGTTCCGCCCGCGAGTCTCCGGTGATATGTATATATATATTATACATTGATCCTGAAAATTTCGAGTGAAAGTATTGAAAAATGCAAAAGCTTTTTGGTGAAGTCACTTTCGCGAAAATCCTGAACTGAGATATATGGGCAATTTTATTCATTGTTGGTGGTCATATGGACTCAGTTTCCACATTTATGAGATCATATTATTATCTCAGAGAGTGTTTAGCAGCAAATGACCGAGATAAGAATTTTGAAATGGCCGGGACCGAGAATTTTTATCCAATTTGAAATTGGCCGGGATCAGTCAAATTTGACCGGGACCGGGATTTTAGCTCTATTCGGACACAAAATTTAGCGGAATAATCAACTATTAGTGCGGAAGTGATCCATGTTTAAGATGGCAATTTGCTTAAGATTACAAATTTTTTGAGTTTCATTTTATAAATGATATGATTTCTATTTTCTACTAGAAATTTTTTCCCGTCACGCTGCAAATTTTTTCCAATCGTACGCGTTGTGTGATGTCGTAATGATTATTTATTCGAAATTTCTGACTATCATTTGTATGTTAAAAGTTTCACTTACCTTCCTGAATTTGAAAAATCTTTGACATCAACAGATTATGATAAGGAATTTCGAAGAAACGTCATTAATCGCAATATTGCTCGGTTACAAATATGAGTTTATATAGATACGAAAAGCTCGCTGTAGCTACCTGTAGAAGATGCCTATTCTCCGCCTCTCTCTGTTTCTTTTCCTCCTCCATTAACCTTGCCTCCTCTGCTTTGAGGGTGTTAGCGTTCTCCTGTTGTAGTCTGATAGCGGCCAGCTGCTTCTCTAACACCTGCCCAATAATAGTCATTAATAATATATATAATAAGGAATCACAAACAGGTTACCTGAAATACATTTTTTGCTCAATTTTGTGACAGACATGATACCAACTTTGCAGATATTTTTCAGGAAAAGTAGTTGAGCAACAGTTTTGAAACTTTGCAGAGGTCTTATTCTTGTACATATGCTTCAGTGTATGAAATGAAATGAAATGAAATAAAGCATTTTTATCCCGCTTATATCAACAATCCAAATAAAAATAAAGATTGCCGACGTCAAAGCGGCTGGCCTATGAATATACCCCAAACTAAGATATTCAGTTAATGAGTATGATATAAATTCTTAAAAATCCAAAACCAAATTACTTATTGACATTAAAAGTTAGTATAGCAACGGTATAAAAAACAACTTAAGGATGTATATCATTAAACATTATTATAAATCGTTCACTCCAATACCTTGTCCTTACAACCAATTTTACCACTTCTGATATAATAATGTTTATCTGTGTCTTCTTTGGCAATCTGTTTCATCTCTAAGACCAACTGTTGATGGATAGTTCGTTCTTCAGGTGATCGGTCCGGAGAAATGAAAACAGTTTTATGACGTGGAATCAGTCTCAAGCTCAGTTCTTTAGCTTTCGCTAATATCTGATGGACTGTACTTGAATTTCCAAACTGGTTTAATATTTTCAGCTGACTTCTTCCCAACCCGGACAGCTTCGAAGTGTGGCTTATCTTCAATCTGCTGAAACATCTCGCCAACTTCATGACTCAGATTCTCTTCACTAGTCTCCACCAAATATTAACACATTCTTAGTTCGATCCTCTTCTGATATAACATTCTGTACTTGAACGGGGGGTATGCAACGACCATTAATGACCATTAATGACCATTAATGACCATTAATGACCATTAATGACCATTAATGACAATGTCAGTTTTGTCAAAATTTCATCTACTGACATTAATGGTCATGTTTTTTCCGGCACTTCTTAGAGCGAAAAGGACGGACGCCTGCATCACTTAGACCCTACCTTAAGTTAACTGACTACAAGTATATGTTATTATTTTACATTTACAATTAGAGATTCGAAAGAGAAAACTTAGAATAGAATCTTCCGTGGTTAGGCAGACCTTCCAGAATATCACTTGAGTGGATTCCAGAGTGAGTTAGGGATTACATTTATTAAGTTCGAATGTAATGAAGAACAAATTTTGCGGCCACGGGATTTAAACCAGATAACAGTTGGTGACTTATAGTTATCAATAATAATAATTCAAAGGGCAATTTAGGAGTATCAGATCGTATCAATAGTAAAATAACAATCAATAATAAAATAATAATAACACGGGTATTAAAATTAAATACTTCGTTCCCGTTCCGGGGGGGATCAGGTACCAAGTGCCGGACATCACGTCGACTAAGTGTAGTTTTGGATATTTTTCACTAGACCCACCCACCCCCTTTGCGGTACTAACTGTTTTTTTTGATAATACGTAAGACACCCACCCCTTTTGCCGCCTTTTGCGGTACTAACTGTCGAAAAATCGTGGTACTAACTGTTTTTTGGTATATAGAATAAGATACCCACCCATAAATTGCTTTTAACAGCTCATTAAACATTGGAAATGGGAAAATTATACCCACTATTTAGTAGGGGGTTTGTTTTCAATGTAGTCGAATTAGATAAAAAGTTACACAAAAAATTTTAAAATTACAAAAAACCCAAAAAAAACTCAAAACCCATTCCCAAAATTGAAATTTGAGGTAAAATGGTTTTTTTTGGGGTTGGACACCCAATGAACCCCTTAGTACCATGTACTTACTGTTTTTCTGGAAAATGGGCAGTAGACCCACCAGTAAGTACCATGTACTAACTGTTTTTCTGGAAAATGGGCAGTAGACCCACCAGTTAGTACCACTAGCAGGAACCCGTATAACCCTAAAATGGTGTCAAGACTCGAGAGACTCAAATAATTATTGCCTATTTAATTCGCGTTTTTGACACCACTTGGGAGTCCAAATTTTGGGCACTAAAATTCTTATTCCTTGGCCAATTTTTTATGTTTTCATGTTGATTTGAAGGCCATTAAAGCATTTGACCCAGTCAAAAAAGTTTCAATTGTATATCTTTTACGGTTTTTGCGGAACATCGCGTTAAAGTTTATGCCGTGGTGTCAGTAAAATGGCACGGATATATACACATATATATATATATCGTCTCGCTTTATATATAGTAAGATGTACTAACTGTGTTTTTGGGAGAAAAATGACCCACCCACCAACGTCATGTCCGGTACTAAGTGTATGATCCCCCCGCCCGTTCTTATATCAACGTATAACAGAATGGTGCTTGGCACTCATTCCGAAACCGAGGTCCGAGCCTCTATTAGGCGAATATTAATTCGTTTTCTCAAACAATCGAATTAACAATCGGCAATCGATGTAGGGGGCTGTGAGAAACTTTATAGAAGTGATACAAAGTGATCATAATTGTAAATTTCTTGGACATGTTGCTTCCAAGATAGTTCAGAATTTCAATTATTTAATGACCATTAATGACCATTAATGACCATTAATGACCAATGTCAGTTTTGACAAAATTCGATCTACTGACATTAATGGTCACCACTATCATAACGAACAGTGTTTTGTACCGATCAAGAGATCGCTTTGCTCATAATATGCTGAAGACCTCAGTGGACTCAAGTTAGCGAGGTGTAAAAAAACAGAGAGAATTGCACCAAGGAAGTGACAGATAGGGAAAGAGATCTGTACTTCCAAGAGCTACTAATCAATAAACTGACAGCTCCTTTTTTTAGAGACATCATTGTAATATAACTAAATATATACTAAAACTAAACCTAAACAAATTTACTGCAGAGCGTCATGTAATGCCGACTTAATTAACAGAATGAACATACTATACATACTTGAATTACCAAATTCTCTACGACTGTCTAGTTTGTTTCTGTCTTTCCTCATTTTACAAATCTGTTACTTGTCTTGGTCAGTCATTTTATATTCCCTATATAATATTACAGAACACCTAAACAATATTAGATATTATACTCTTATGACACCCCATTCAATAGAATAATACAACTCGTGCTACTAGAAGTGATTCTAATCAATAAACAATGAAACATAGATGCAACAATATTATTTTCTCCTTACACTCGCAAAATTTAAATATCCCTGTCGCTTACTAACAATACAGTCTATTAAACATTCTATTTATATCCTAGCATAATTCAGCATGTGTGTGTATTGTGAATGGCAGCAAAGCCCCATGTTTAATGTTTGTGGTGTAGTTACACTTATCAGGAGCATCCAACCCCGCACCTCCATCTAAAGTATAATGCCCCAATTATTCCACTTTAGCATGAGCGGATCCTCATTTCAAATCCGTGAGATACTCTGATAGTATATACCTTTATCTACACAACACACAAGCTCTTAGCTCACTATAAATGGGATATGTAGTAATCTCAGTCCATGGTACTTAATTTAGTGGCATGAAACCATTATAGTATAATATGCACATAAAAGTGTGTGTGTGTGTGTGTGTGTGTGTGTGTGTGTGTGTGTGTGTGTGTGTGTGTGTGTGTGTGTGTGTGTGTGTGTGTGTGTGTGTGTGTGTGTGTGTGTGTGTGTGTGTGTGTGTCTGTGTGTGTGTCTGTGTATGTGTCTGTGTCTGTGTCTGTGTCCGTGTCTATTTAGCATACCGAGAGACAGTCCTTGTTGCGTTGTATGGCGGCAGCACACTCCCTCTCCTCCCGCTCGATTTTCATTATTCTGTCACTCTCCCACAGCGCGGCGTACATGCCTTCCTCTGCGAGGATGGACAGCGTGAGGAAATCTCATATATCATATCGCATACAATGCGGCTAGCAATATGCTAGTCGGGTTAATCAAACATTTCATTTGAACTCGATTGACAGGCGCCATGCGGTAATGTATTATATATATATTGGTTGGACGTTAATAAAAGAATAAATCACGATGTCAAGCTCAATAGTGCAGAAATGTGCTGGAAAGAGATTTCGTACCATCTTTCTCGCGCTCCTTTATAATTCCAGATATCTCGATCTGTTTAGCACGTTCTGCGAACACTTCGTTTTGGTGCTGCCGTGCAAGGATCGGTCTCAGTTCATCACACTCTTCTCTGGAAGATAGTGTCGTTAATCATCATAATCACACACGCTGGAGGTGACGTGTAGGTAATGTAGGTAATGTGGGTAATTATATAACGTGTGGGAGAAGTTCAGGTTAATTTCAGTAGTCGTCTAGCTCAGTTTTGTACTATATTCATCAGTGGTATTGATCAGTGGTGCTCTATACTACATCGGATAGTATGTTTACGAATTACGTAACAACACATATAATGCGGTTAATAACATAATGATCGTGCTCCCCGGGCCGGGGGTCATCAAGTTAACAGTTATTTAATTTCAATGCAATTTTGTATGCAATTTTGTAGGTATGCAATTTTGTATGCAATTTTATCATAATATTCGTTTGATAAAGTGTGGTAGTCTCGATAAAATTGATCAGAATTCAGATTAACATTTAGGTCACATTCTCCCCATTCTCCCCATAGAAATCGATACCCAGAATCCAGTCGTTCATAAACCACTACTCCTGGCACTCAACTTCTCTCCTTCCAACACTCTTGTAAATACAAAGGCATTCCATGAGACTTACAATCGAGCCCCACTTCGTTACAAAATCACACCTGTTAGCCTTAACATCTTACGAGATACAAGGACGGACCCACTCGTGGAAGAATGTTCCAAAACCCTCTTAGAAACTGATTATCCCGAAGATCACCTAGGTACATACAAATTGAACGTAGATATCACAGTACACTTGAATAAAATAGCAGACAAATGTCTCCAAAAGACAAAATATCCCAAAATAAAAAAAAGGGTCCATAAACAAACAACCCTGGTTCACACCAGCCACTAGAGAAGCTAAAATATCTTGTACTCGTGCAGCTCAAATTGATTCTGATTTCCCCAATAAAAAATATCTACAAAAGTTTGATTGCTCGTACCAAAAATTAATTTCTCGACAAACTGAATAGAGATCGAATCTGGTAAAATTCTAAACTGGAAACAATTCAAAAAACTGAACAAATTTAAGGGAAGAGTCGATAAATTTGAGTGTCATGACATGGATAACTTTCAAAAATTCTTTGGTAAACTCTATGCCAATGCCCATTATAATAGCACCATAATCGAAGAGAATAAGAAAGAAATATTTCAAAATGCAGAGGATATTAACAATAACTGCCAACCATCCCCTGCACAATCAATTCTCAATGCCAGATCTCTGTGGATGAAATATCCACTACGCTCTCATCACTCAAAAACGGCAAAAGTTCCTCGGAGTATGTGATATGCATTGAAATACTGAAGACCTTGTCCACAACAAATATACAGCTCCTTTGCAAAATGCAAAATCTTTAACCGCTGCTTAGACACTGGAACTGACCCCGTGGAATAATAGCATTATTGGGGGGGGGGGGGGGGGGGGGGGGGGGTGGCTGACCATATTAAAGTAATATATTAAAATGTAGGTTTTTCCCGATTTAGGGGCGGGGATATATACTTTAATATATACTTTAATATACCTATTATATCCCTATCTTTTTGGATAGGAGGCCTAAATCAAAATCGCTGCCCACAATAAGCTTGAAATGCAATTCTTAATCAATTCCGAAAATTTCCTGCAAAAGTATTGAAAACTGATAGAGTTATTTCAATTTTAATTAAGTCATTTCGGCTAGTATCCCGAACCGAGATATTATGTGCAATTTTGTTCATGAAGGTGTTTTTACTTAGTATCCACTATTCAACAGCTATATCTTTCACATAAAGTTAGTCTCATTCAAAAATATTGAAATTTGATCGAATTTTGGGCAAAAGCTTTCTAATTTGGTGCATTATATGCCCAAATATGGGCATATGGTTTTAAGCTCATAACTCAGCCATTTTTTCACCAAACTGGATATAAATTCATGTACTACTCCAAAAACAGGCTTATCTTGCAAAATGTAGGTTTTTTCCTGATTTGAGGGCGGGGTATATTTCAATATGGTCAGCCCCCCCCCCCCCTCCCCATTGTTACACCCAGGCTACACAAAAAAGGCGACAAAGAAAATCCCGATAATTACAGAGCAATCGCTGTGAGTAGTACAATCGGGAAACTATTTTCGACATCATGTTAAACAGTGCGAATATCACAAGACTACGGATCAGTACACATCGACTAGAAATTGAACTTGGCCGATATAATCAAACTCCTCGTGAGGAGCGAATATGCTCCTGGTGCAATATAGTCTTAGGTTCTGGTATCATTGAAAATGAAGATCACTTCCTTAACCATTGTGATCTTAACGCTGCATCGAGGCGAAAAGTCCTAGACAAGATCCAGTCAATCATATCAAATCCAATCAAACCGTCTGCGACATCGTATTCTGTTCACACTGTCATCCCTGGAGCAAACGTCCTCAAACTCATCAGCAACAACAGTGAATTCATTGAACTAATCACAAACGAAAGTCCAACTCATGAGAGTCGTTACTAGAATTGCTACTACGTGTATTAACAACCACAAGGGTCAGCAACCCATGTACCAATTTATTGTCGTATCAATTTATTTTCTATTTGCTTTCAGCCTTTTACTAACATATTAGTTTTTATCACATCTTCTGGCGCAACAACGATCGCAAAGTGGCCTGTTGTTACTGTTGTAACTTAAGTTACTGTAGTAACTTAAGATTTTAAATTTGTATTCCTTGTATTCCTTGTATTCCTTGTATTCCTTGTATTCCTTGTATTCCTTGTATTCCTTGTATACCCCTAGTATTAGATTAACAGTTAGGTCACATTCTCCCCATTAGCGAGGACCACTCGAAACATTTCGACTCACTGCAAGCCCGTATGAGACCCCCATGAGAGGAGATTTATAATATACCTATATCTTTTCGTATGTTAATCAAATTTAAAATGCTTATAGTACAAAGCTTAATGCAATGGTGAAGTGTAGGATACAGTAGAAAGTGTTGAAACTATAGAAGAAAGAAAAATCCAATAAGTAATTACCTCCATCGGATATCCAGTTTCTCCTCTACTAGGGCAAGTCTCTCCTGCTCCCGTTTCTCTCTCAAGGCTTTAGCTCTAGCTCTCATCTTGGCTTGTCTTTCAAGTGTTGTCTCTTGCTGCGCGTCGATCTCCGTCAAGTGCTGTTCTTCTTCTGCTTCCAGCAATGCACGCAATCTTGGGAATGTGTTAATTAATACGAAGGTTGCTCAAAATGGTGAAAAATATTGATGAAGAATATCATAGTGTTTAGTTAATGGTTGGTTCGTCGAATAGATAAAATTAAAAGATCATGTTATTAAACCAAATCCATACTTTTCACGACGCTGCTCGAGATCGAAGCTCTCTTTCTTAAGAATTGTCTCAACTCGTCTCTTTACAGTGTTCTTCTGAATTCTTACATCCGTCTCTTTCTCCCACTGGGTCTGACCAAAAAGCGTTTAATATAATAAGAAACTAATGTACCTGTTTTTATCAATATAAACATTGACCAGAGGTAAATGAACAATCGGCTTGATAAATGAGCTATTCTTTTCAATTATTAAAGTATTAAGCTTTAGTAAGACTGATTAAAGGAGTTACACGGGTCCGTACCTATATAGCCGATTTCGCTGATTTAAGTTACGCAAAAACTAGCGGACCTAGCTGCAATATCGGATAGCTAGACTAGCGGATGTTTTACGGAAGCTAGTACTATTCTCGCTAGTTTGCGCGCGGCGTCCACTATACTCCGCTAGCCATACGCTAGGTATAAATGCTGCATTTTAGCGCATCTCCGTTAGGCGCCCGCTAGCTTCCGCTAGCCATCCGCTGGCTTTTGTGTAACTTAAATCCGGCAATACGGACCTGTGGTAAAGCTAATGTATTTTTCTTTTCGAGGTAAACAATTATAATAGCATATAAAATGCTATTATTCCGGATTCATGGTAGTTCAATTCATTTATTATTTAATAACATCAGTTCAGCAATCGGCATGTTTTCTTAAAGGTTTTACGGCGCATACATGATAAGAATAAGGTTACTGAGTAATTGTTAGGACGAAACAAGTCCTAAAGCATGACGCAGGAGAGCGCTCAAATGCAATTCTATCATGTAGATCTGGATACTGGTGGGGAGGTGAACTGCATTTTTTCTAATGTAACAAAAACAAACCAACTAGCCTCCAGAATTGACCAATCAAACCAAAAATCGCTGTCAGTTGCAGTTGTTGCAACATCCATTTGAGGAACCTTCAAGTTATAGACTCAAAGCTTAACTATGACCTAAAAAGACAGCTCATCCACAGTTTGATCTTCGCAAAACCAGACTATTGCAATGGACTTCTATATGGTTAACCTGATTTTCTCATAAAGAAACTCTAGAAGGTACAAAACTCCTGTATTCGATTCTTGTTTGGTGGAAAAGCTATTCAAAAGTGGGACAGTGTTGTGTCACTCCATTCTTTAAAAAGGCCCATTTTCTACCAATAAGACAACGAATAGAGTATAAGATTGCTCTAACCGAGTTCAAATGCACCAATAACATAGCTCCAGGCTAGGCTATATATCACGAAATGCATTGACATCTAGACTGGTACATCTTAGTTATCGTGTAGTTACCTAAACACTACTATATAGTGAGACAAATAGAGACGACTCATGTTTTACCTTGAGATCGTAATGCTTCTGCTGCATAACTTCCTCCTGGACTTTCAGTCTTTGTTCATCTTTCTTCCTTCTCTCCAAGATCAGACTGTCTGGGGGTTTCTTGTGTGGTGGTCTGGCAATCTGAAATCAAATTGTATTTTATCACATCTTCTCTAATATTGATCATCTAATATTCAAGCATTACCAAAGAAAGTTATTTGCCGTGTGAGTGAGGTCAGTCTGCCGTTTGGCTTAATAACTTGATAAAATATGAACATTAGCTACTTTCAACTCATCAACTTAAAATGCAATTAGCAGCGCCCCAACGATTTAATATAAACATTTGTCGGCACTCTTAATGAAATTAAGATGACAGGTGGTATTTTTGGTCATTGAGTCATTGCTATTCTATAAACGCTCATTAAAAATATAACCAAATTGCACATTTCTACAAAATAACTAATTGGATTTATCTTTATACTTTTTTAAGTCGGAGTGACAATGTTAGCTTAATCATAAGAGCCTGAGTATGTGTAAGAAAGGTATTTTGCATGTCTTATCACTCTCCTTAATACTGAACAAGTGCATAATTAATCAAGGCCTTGTTGGGAAAATATATATTTTGGAAAAGTTCTAGTGTTGAATTAAGAGAAAACGAGAGCCGCATGTGAAGGTACAGAAGAGACATGGTTCATGTTACTTCGTGACGGTGCTATAGAAATTACATGCACATTGTACAGTCGGATACCGGCGTCGAATTAACGAAAATTTGGAATTTTCATTCCTAAATCAAGTGGTTAGCAATCATCTTACTTATAATTCAGAGAATTATGTAGAAAAATAATATACGACTGCCCACGTGCAAATTAGGTAAAAAGCAAAAGGTTGCAAAGTAACCATGGTAACGAGGGTTGTTACACACACGTGCACGTGCAAAGATTGTTAAAACGGCATTTTTATCGGTTTTGTTGATATTACGTTGTGTTTAGTGCAAGCAACATTTTAATCGGCTGTATCTTCGGTTGTGTAGGATATTTTTTGACGCGATTAAAACTGACTGTCAAAGAATACTATTAGGTTCCTCCCTGTGACCATGGGTTTTCTAGTCATAATTATAATTCAAAGAATTATTCTGTATGTATGTATTGGCTGGGTGGCCTAGTGGTTAGAGCTTCCACCTTCTGTAAAGAAGGTTCAGGGTTCTAATCCCAGTGTCACTCAGTCTAGGGAGTAGCTAAGGATTCATTGGATCTATGCGATCTCCTCGGTCGACTCAGCCGAATGATAGGAAACTTGATTGAGGGTTAAATGAGGAGGGGTGCCTGTGCCAAAAAATCAAGAATCTTAGGATACTTCTTCAGAACATCTACAATGTAGTGTACTGTAAAACAAGGGCGGTCGAACTATTCGATGACCCTGTAGAGGAATCTACGAACTTTACAAATTATACAAATTATTATTATGTAGAATGTATGTACTACCGCCCACGTGCAAATTAGGGAAACAAATAAAAGTTGCATAGTGACCATAGTACTAGAACGGTCGGTATTCAAAAGCAAACGTGCAATGTGCATGTGCAAAGATTTACAAGCGACATTTTGATCGGTTTTGTGGTAATTACGTTGTATTCAGTGCGAGCTACATTTTCAAAATCAAACTAACAGTCAAGGACAAAAAGTCATACACCAAATGAGCATTATATTTTTATAAATTGTTTTACATCTCTTTATTCTGTAAAATGTGCTAAAAATTAAATTTCTTGTTTCATTGAAATTTCTTGTTTCATTGATTTTAATCGGTTGTATCTTCGGTGGGGATGAATACTTTTTGATGCGATTAAAACTGACTGCCAAATAAATAGAAAACTACTAGCTTCATCCCTGTTAACACGGGCTTTCTAGTCATTATTATAATTCAAAGAATTATTCTGTATGTATGTCTGTACGACCGCCCACGTGCAAATTAGACGAGAAATAGGAAGCTGCATGGTAAAGGTGTTCAAAAGTACACGTGCACGTGCAAAGATTTGCGAGTGACATTTTGATCAGTTTAGTGTCGATTACATTTTAAGGGGGCCGGGGGGGGGTCTTCATCAAAATTATCTCGAAATTGATTTTATAGTTGTTTCTGATAGAGGGGAGTGATATCTACCAGATGCTTTTGATCCCATGGAAAAATATTGTTCCTAGCCAAAATTATCGCCAGTCAAGGGTCAACGCTTATGTGTAATTGTATTGCGTGAGCGATTTTCAATCGCGCGCCCTGAAAATCGAGTCTAAAAATCTATCTTCTCCTACATTTTTTAAGCAATCACCCTGAAACTTTCAGGATATGTTCCAGGGATCATTTAGAAGAGACCAATCGAGCCGAATTTTGAGATAGGTCTTAGAAAAATTGTCGCCATTGTTTTTATTTAAGTTCATACTTCATTGCTCTGTAATTCTGCACTATTTTATAAAAGTTTCATATCAAATAATGGTCTCAATTAGAGGTCTCGACTGCCTAGGCATCAAACCTCGGCAGTCGTTACTATCCTCTAGTTCGGCGCGGAGTCAGCTGAAAATATCTACAAGAGTAGAAGGGAATTTTATATACAATATTATCATAATAATATTATTATTATGGAGAGGCACAGAATAGAGGTTTTAATGTGGTATATACACTGATGACACCATCAGCAGAGAAACAGTACTCAATGTTCTTGAAGATGCTGGCTGTACTAGTGATGAAATTAGGATGGTACGGCTCCTACTATCAAACACAGTGTTGAAAGTAAAAGTCAATAATACTGTATCAATTGAGTTCCAAAGCACAACTGGAGCATTTCAAGGAGATGCACTATCAGGTAATCTATTTACTGTTGTTGAAGCCGCTGCACTTATTCACCTCAGATCTATACTCTCCCAAGTATCATCAACACCTTACCCAGTAAATCATCCAATCCCTAATCCTCCTATCTCAGAAGAATTCATGCCACTCGAAACAGGATACTCTGATGATATTGACTTTAATAACACTGAACTTGCTCCACTCAAAGAAATGCTTCCTATCGCTAAAGATATATTCCAGCAGTGGGACCTTCATATCAATTCTTCCAAGACTGAATTTGTCCATTTTTATTTAGCAGATCCTAAACCCACTGTTAAACGCAAGGTGATTGTTGGAAAAGTGTATAGAGGTGATGAAGAGTGGCGCTCTAACAAAACTTTAGGATCGTTGATGTGCACTGTTAAGGATATCAAGAATCGAATATTCCTTGGTAATGTTGCCTTTAGTAAATTTCAGAAAGTTTGGATGAAGAGCAAGATTTCAGTCCAAAGGAAGATCAAAATCTACGAGGCACAAGTAGTCTCTATTCTACTCTACAACTGCAACTCCTGGGCTGCACCACTAGCTTCGTTGAATGAACTTGATATTGCTCATCGCAAACACCTCCGAAGAATCCTCAACATCAGATGGCCTACTGGGGTTATTTCTAATGAGGCACTCTATGCTCGTTGTTATGTCACTCCCTTGTCTGTGAGAGTCTCTAAGTTTCGATGGAGAATGTTAGGACATATCTTAAGAGGACAGGAAGACTCACCAGCATACACCTCTATGTTATTTGCTATAAATTCTGATATTTTTATGGAAGGGAGACGGGGTAGACCATGTTTAAACTTATTAGATGTTATTAGAAAAGACTTGACTAGTAGAAATCTTGATATTAGACTTAAGAATTTGACTGATTTCGAAGACCTTAGATTTTTGGCTTTAGATAGGGAGGAATGGAAGAAGTTAGAAGATGGTTGATGTTTTTTGTTTTCTTTTTTATGCGTTTTGATATCTATAAGGTGCCTAGGATGCTCTTTCAAAGAGATATTTCGTACTTTGAAAGATTTACTACTATATACATTCAAAGTGCTTGTGGAAAAACTAATAACTGAATATAATATTATACAATAAAACTCTGATTTACCACAAACCCCTACATATATATATATAATAATACCATGGTTGTTTCCTTTTGGGGGTTTTACTGTATAATGTATTTCATCTAGGATAACTTACAATTGCAACGGAATGAGGGGTAGGCCCATGATGTTCACGAGTACGTCTTGTCTTGAGCATCACGCACACCTATCTGCAAATACCTTCATCTCAAGTCATTTTGATAGCATGTTAAAAAATTTTAAATATCAGGATCTTGGGAAACAAATTCCCTGAATTAGTCGTGGCATTTTTGAATTTAAAACAGTGAAGAATGGAGAACAAGCTGATCCTTACATTTTTAGAGATAATATTATATGGTTTTACATCGAATAACTGCAGAAAATATTGCAAAAGTTCATTATATGATTATTGCAGTATGAGATATATTGCAGTATGAGGTATTGCAGTTTAAGGTAATATTGCAGTATTAGATATTGCAGTATAAGATATTGTTATTACAAAATTTCATACGACACTACCAGAAAATTTCACAAAACACATGTTATAACAGCAAAATAAGACAGTGCTGCTTCAGAAGACGTAGGATACTCTAAAAACAGAGCATTACATAAATTCATCACACTGTTATAGTTATACCATTTATTATATTATTGTTAGAATGTTGCAGGAAATTCTATGCATGAGAAAAACAACCAATTCGAGAAATGCAACAAATAAAATTAACACTTTAATAGTACTTAAAAACGCATAAAAACACATTAATTCGGATGATTCTTTGCAACTAATGTTTTACACCCAAAAACAGAAGAGCCAAAATTTTAATAAGCAAGTGATTTTAGACAGTAATGATTGCTTTTCTGTAAAAAATTCAAAATTGAGAAATGTTAACTTGGTTAATACAGGGTGTCCCAAAAAAGGCGACTATGTGACTTCGCCTCAGCTTTTACCCAACGACTTGAAACTTTGCAAGTCATGAGCGATTATGCTCCATAATCTGTGTTTCAGGGCAAAACTACCGTAGGAACCTTTTCATTTCTCTTCAAGATTGGGGACTGATTAGAATGCTTGAAGAGGTTATCCGGCTTTTGCTGAGCACATGTAACGGCTGTATCCAGAATCTGAAAAAGAATCGAAATCCAAAATGTCTTGAAGGCTCTTACTTATTCAGGATCTGCAAAAGATGATGAGATCTATCCTATTAACAGTAGCTGGTCAGCTCGTGGGTGCAGTAATATGTTAACAATAATCACTTGGTCGCCTTTTTGAGGACACCCTGTAAAGTGTAAATATGGCTGTTATTTTCGACTCTGCAAACAACTTAAATTCCAAGTTCACCTATAACTTACGATCTAATTTTTGTTCACAGTTCGCAGCCAACAATGTTTGCAGCTCATTATCAGTATGAATAAATTCAAAATTGAGTGGAAATTGAATGAAATTAGCTTCATTGACAAGACACAAAATTGATGATTGACAGATAATTATAAAACCGATGAAATCCATTCTTATTGAAAAGTTGAGATTTACAGTAACAACTTAAGGGGGCAGGGGGGGTCTTTATGAAATTTCTCTCGAAATTGATTTCATAGTTGTTTCTGATGAAGGGAGTGATATCTATCAGCTGCTTTTGGTCCCGGTCCCATGGAAAAATATTCTTCCTAGCCGAAGTTATCGCTGGTCAAAGGTCAGCGCTTATGTGTTATTGTATTGCGCAAGCGATTTTCAATCGCACACGCTGGAAATGGAGTCTACAAATCTATCTTCTCCTACATTTTTTGAGCAATCACCTTGAAACTTTCAGGATATGTTCTAAGGACCATTTAGGAGATTCTGTTCCATCAGAATTTTAAGATAGGCCTTAACAAATATTTTATTCGATTTTGAAAATCTTGGACCTTGTTTTTTTGACGATTTTTCCAGGTCCAAGATTTTCAAAATCGAATAAAAAATTTTCTAAGGCCTATCTTAAAATTCTGATAGATCAGAATCTTCTACATGGTCCTTAGAACATATCCTAAAAGTTTCAAGGTATTGCTCAAAAAATGTAGGAGAAGATAGATTTGTAGACTCCATTTCCAGCGCGTGCGATTGAAAATCGCTTGCGCAATACAATAACACATAAGCGCTGACCTTTGACCAGCGATAACTTCGGCTAGGAAGAATATTTTTCCATGGGACTAAAAGCAGCTGATAGATATCACTCATATTAGAAACAACGTATTAGAAACAACTATAAAATCAATTTCGAGAGTAATTTCATAAAGACCCCTCAGCCCCCTGCCCCCTTAAAGCCACCATGGCAATTACTCTTAACCATCTTATTGTATAGTATATTTTATAATATCATCATGAACCAATGCAACTTATCAACTTTCCAGCTTGAAGATTATTATATATCATATAAACATTCGTTAGGACAAATATATATCACACACTAGACAGCCTTTATCGTTACTTGAACAGTAACTGGTTTTGTGATTTCTAAGAAATTGAAAGAAGGCTTAGTCTAGAAAACACAAGGATATCATAACATTTGAGATGGTCAGCCCATATTAAGTTTACTGTTAGCAGCTAGGTTTGAAGCCTCAATAGCTCTTTTCTGGACTTTTTTCCAAGCTTCTTCACGTTGAGCCTCTTTCCGTTTCTCTTTTTGCCGTTCAGCTTTAAAAGATAAAGTTAGTTCATCAAACAACTGGTTATTCATTTCCATAAATGTCTTCATAACATTATATACAAGAGCAACAATTGTCTGGTTCCAATGATCCTTACTTATAAGATAAAGGGCAGGAAACATTATGGGCATTATGATTCTACAGTGTTCTTCTATCAAACTCATTATGTACTCATTGTTCCAGAAGTAAAGAGCTCTTTCGGCGACTTGAAACTGTGGACTTGAAACAGCTTTTGCTAACATCTTGAAAAGAGGGATGATAACCTTCTTAAACTGAGTTGGCTCTATAATGTCGAGAACTTCCTCAACTTCACCAAGTAACATCACCTCTTTTGCACTGTTTGTTTTTGGCCACAGCTTCAGCAAACCTAATATTGTTGGTTCAGTAAGAGATGGATCCTTTTCAACAAATTGCACGATGCAGTAAGCCAACTGAGCATGATATGAAGCTATTCCCCTCGATTTATGTAGAGGTATCAAGACCTTGAAAAGAAAAAGTCTGTGTTCTTGTTTCAGTGGAACTGCAAAGCCATTTATAATGCTGCCAAGAATCTCAAGAAATTCTGCAATGCCATTACAGTTTTCCCCTTCAAATATATACCTTAAAAATATGTAGTTGATATTTTTTCTAATGAAAGATCTGAGACCAAGAAACTTTCCATAGATTCTGTGAAGCAAGGTTTTGAGCATATCTCTTTCCCTAGGATCCTCACTATTAAACAATGCCATAATTTGCAAAACAAACTTTTGGTCGCAATACTTTTTGCACAGTGAGGGTTGAAAATCAGCACTTTCCATGAACCTCAAAAAGTACTCATATATAAGTTGCAGATGGGGCCAGCTGGGATCGTAGTTTGGCTCATCCTCATCATTATCAAAGTCTTCTTTCCCTTCGTCTTGGTTTGGGGGAAAGCATCTAACAACATTACACTGCAACATTTTTATACTCTCAGGGTAGACAGCTTCAAATATAACCCCGTTGTTGCTGGCGATATAATCAATCAATTCATTTAGAGTTTGTCTTTTTTGTTCAATTCCTTTATTTTCAGGCTCAAGTGCAGTAAAATCAAAGAGAATGCAGCACTGCTGAAGCTTTTTCAGGAACAATTCATTCCGCTCTGCTGCAGATGTCTCTTTTAATGGTGGTAACAGTTGAAACTCATGATTGCTCAAAAACAAATTAAAGGATGTTGTGCTAAGACGTTTTCCTTTACTCCTCTTGGCTGATTTCTTTGTAAAAGGATCTGAAGTGGGTGGCGATGTCCCCATCAATCCATAAATTTAGCTTGTCTCGATCATGTAACTAATTCATGTGTGCTGCAACTGGAACATATACCCTGTTCATGATAATTAGGATGATTAAGAATTCATTTGTTATATATATAATGTAGATAAGGGTAATCATGGGGCCACTGGCCCGTGCTTGTTCTGATATGTGGCAAAAATTAGCTGAGCTTGTAGTATTGACAAATCCAATTCCACAATCTTTGTCTCACATTAAGTGGGCCGTGGGGGGGGGGGGGGGGGGGGGGGCTGGGGGAGGCTAGGGGGTCTTAATGAAAATTCTCTCGAAATTGAGTTTATAGTTATTTCTGTTATGTTGAGCATTCTCAACCGAAAGACCGAAACAGATCTAAAGAGACAATTAGCAAAGTCGGAAAAATAGACTTGAATTTGTTTATATAATTTATAAAGCGTATGTTATTGCCCGCGTTAAGGGGCCTGTTAATAATTAATTAAATTTTAGATTTAATAATAATAATGATAGAGGAGAATGATGTCTATCAGCTGATTTTGGTTCCATTTAAAAATATCGTTCCTAGCTGAAAATTGACCCTAAAATTTCCTACAAAACGATGCCCAAGAATTTCAAAATTGAATGTTCAATTTATATTATATCTCTAGGAGAAGATTGATTTTTAGACTCAATTTGGTCTCAAGGAACGATATTTTTCCATGGGACCAAAAGCAGCTAATAGATATTACTCCCCTGGCCTCTATTAGAAATAGCTAAACTCAATTTAGAGAGAATTTTCCCTTTACAAAAACCAACTTGATTATATAATAATAAATTCGGTTGAACTAACACATAGCAGGAAAGCCACATTAATGTTGGGGCCGTCTACTAAATGTGAGAATAAAAAACAATCAAACAAAACATATCATAATATAAGTGTAAGAATATGGTTGATCACAAGTCTGTCCCAGCTAAAAGCAAGGGAAAAAGGACAATCGGACTGACAGAATTATAACCAATGAGATATAATGCATTTCTATTCTAGGATTGCAATAAAACGGTAGAAACTCAAACAATATACACATAATATAACAATAATCCTATATACAAATTCTATATATAAATTCAATAAAAAATCTTAGAAAATTTCATAAAAACCCTTTGTAGTAGTAGTAAAAGTAGCCAATTCAATTTGTTGGCTCTAAATTAATATCTAGATCTGGTATTTTAACTATACTACCACTTTTTATCCCTCTTTCTCCTCTAAATCCTATTCTAGGATTTCTATTCCTAGAATAGAAATGCACATCTCATTGATAATTCTCGTTGAAAATTCGATTTTTGGGGGCCACACCCAAACAACATTGAATCGCTTATACTGGTGTTTGTGAACATGTTAGACACTCCATTGTAACATATTGCAATATGTCATTTAATCCGGAATATAATCTGAAAAGATGGAGCGAAACGGATTTAAAAAAAAGTAAAAGTCATCTGAGAAGCTAGAATATATGAAATATATTTTTGTCTGCTAAATAAAATATATTTTTGATACTAAATAAAATAAAACAGCTACTCTCATCTATAACAACAGACCCTAATTATACCGTCGACAATTCATATGACAAATTTTACACTGCAATCATAGTCGACGATAACTAAGTGTAAACCGTGATTAATTGAGATGAATTTAGGGTAATATTGTGTAATATCTAGGTAGTGTAGTGATTATAATAAGGCGGTCGTGGTGTCCAGTATGTGACGGTAGTATTTTGGGCATATATTAGTATACGACAGTTATTGCAGTTTAAGTGCAGAGAGGTCAGTTTAACATATGTTTGGGTCAGTACAAGGTTGAATTATGGAGTGTTTACAGAATACTAGTGGTACTATGTTGTGGCTATCGACAGGACAGTTTGCAATTCCCGGGAAATGGTAGATTGTTTAGACTATCAGGGGCGAGAGGAAAATACGATTAGCCTTTTGAGATCGTGAGTGCCAGTTTACCCGATCGAGAGGGGGGTCATTTTGATACCGGGCAGGTTCTGTAGCTAGAACCTGTTAAGGTTAGGTCGTTTAGTTAGGTAGATGGTTATAGTGGTAAGTATAAGATTGGCGGCCGTAGAATAGTGGAGCATTACGTAGTTACTATTATCAGGATAGAGGCATTTGCAGTCAGGCTGACTTAGACAGGTAAAGCTAGAATAAGAGTAAGATTAACGGCAGGAAGTGTGTTGCGTAATATTTGAGGCAGTATGAATCGGAGTAATTAGGAATTTGTTGCATAGCATTTGAGGCAATATGAGTCTAAGTGACTAAGCGTTGGTTGAGCAAATATTCGATTATTCATTGTTCAGTTAAGTACCTTGGGCACCTTTATTATACCCCTTGTTTGCATTCTCACCCTATTCGATAGAGGGTCATGGTTGATACCAGACTAGTGGTATCAACCATGACCCTATCAGCAGGGAGCACAGCTAAGAAGAGATGGACTCAGAGAGGGTAAGCTAGAAGCTAGGCAGGGGAAGGAGACCGAAAAGAGGAGAATCAGAGAAGCTAACAGAGCAGCGGGTAAGAAATACCCATTAATGAAACCTCGGATGTTTGTGCTGGGGAAACACAGCTTTAGAACCTTCCTGAGCGGGTTTAAAATATTTGCCAATGCTGCGGACATCTTGGATGAAGACTTGGTGGACATGATAATGACGTACTTGGACCCCAAGGCACAGAGGAGAGTGGAGACCCTACGATTAACCCGGGACGAGAAGAGAACTGTAGAGGCGAGTTTGGAGAGGAGGACAGAGGTGCTATGTGATGTGCATTCAAAGGCGGGTGCAGGAAGAGACTTCTTGAGATGCGTCAGAAAGAGGAAGAGACAATTTCGGATTTTGCAGCTAGAGTCACTGACATGGCAGATGAGGCATATGCACCGGAGGAGGAGGAGATCAAGAAGACCATCAGGCTAGATGTATTTACAGCTGGGGTATTAAAGGATGAAATCGGGATCGAGTTAATCAAGTCACGAGTGCAAGATTTTGAGGCCGCGCTAAAGAGGACAGTTTAGTTGGATGGGATCCTGGCGAGTCGTAGCCCTAAACCAGGGAAGAATGAGGAGGAACTTTTGTTCCAAATCGGGGAGGATATAGAGATGGATGAGGGAGTGATAAACCGAGTAATGAAAGAGAACCGGCCGAGAAGAGACATCGGTGCTTGTTACACCTGTGGACAGCATGGACATTTCGCAAAGGAATGTAGAAAGACCCCTACTTGGTATGGATGCGGGAGACAGGGTCATATTGTAATGGATTGAACGCAAGGACACGGTGGCCAAGGAGGTCTTCAAAGAGGGCAAGATCCTCTTGTACAGAAAGCTATGGACGAAAGAAATTTATCATTGGTAGCAGGTAGAAGAACTGATAACTGATAAGACATGGGAGGAGACCAACCGCCTTAGTCGACAGAGGGGATGGATTACTTGAAGGGGATACGTGAAGTTGGGAACTTCGATAGCAGCTGCTAAGAAGGCTGCAGTGTGGGTCTTGAGAATCCAGGATTTCAAGGCAAGAGATTTTGCAACACGCTTAGAGTATATGTATATATACTCAGAGTATATTTCTAGGTATTGATGATCTAGAAAAGTTTGTTAGACCGGAACAAATGCAAATGACAGAATATAGCGCTGAGTTCAAGAGACGATTGAACCGGATCGGAGAGTTGTTTAATAACAAGAAAGAAATTTATCATGATGGTATGTTGGCATACAGGTTGTTAACTCAGGCCAACCTGACCAAAGATCAACAGATATTGATCAAAGCTGCAATGGGGACTCAAGAGTTGACAAGTAAAGCAATTGAGGAAGGTTTGAAGAGGTGTTTCGGTGACGCTGTTTTCTGTCGTAGATCCAGACTGGAGTTAGACACAGTGAAGATCAAGGTAGAACCTGGATCGGATGTGCATTACCATAGGGGTCAGTTTGATGAAAAAGGATACTGACATCAGTGGTGATAACGGAGAATATACATTCTATCAAGGATACAATAATTGAGGACAAGGAGGAAGGAAATCGTTCTCTTCTGGCGGTTATAACAATTACTCCAATGGCAGAGGGAGATCTGGAAATGACAGCAGACCATGGGAAAGAGACAAACAGCTCAATTCAAAAGAAAGGAATAACTCAGACTACAAAGATGAGTTAAATGCTATCAGTCACAAAACAGGCGATGTAGCAAGATGTTCAATTTGTGATTCGAATAAGCATTTCCGGGCAGATTGTCAACATAATCCCAATGTTAATGATGTTCGAAAGAAGGATTCGGGCTCAGTGTGTATGTATCAGTCGTGCAGGAATGGTAAAGAATCAAACAAAATTGACAATGACTACTGTGAGACAGTGCTGTTAGTCAATGAGACATTGAACAAGGTGTTGATTGACACTGGTACAACCAGTAATGTGTGTGGTGATGTTTGGTTGAACACATTCTTAGAGTCAATGCCTGAAGAGTTGAAGAAAAAGGTCAGCGAAGTCGAGAGAAACTTGAGTTTTTGTTTTGGAGACGGACACGCGATTAAATCTATCAAATGTGTTAGAATTAGAATTAGAATTAGAATCAAATTTACACAGCAATACAATAAGAATAAAAAATAATTTAAGAAGCTTCAATCTGCTGTGCAGGACATTCAAGTCAGTCAAAAACTGTTAGCAGAACACCCTTCTAGGGACATAAGGATATAGCATGTAAATTGTAAAACAAAATAAGTAATAAATTAATGAGTGGTAAAATAAGATATGATTTAACAGTGAACTGTGGGCATGAAGGTAACAATTAATGTTGAAAATTACATAGATGCCCACTTTGGAATTTCGTAAGTAATATTATTTACAGTTATACACAGAGAAGTATAGAACAACATTAGAATGGCAATGATAACAAATGGGAACGAATAAAGGAGATGTTTAAAGTTCTATACTTCTGAAAATAGGTCATATAACGCAGGGGGCCTTTCCACCCGACAAAAACTCCAGCACCTTAAAAATTGTTTCAGTTGTCACATAGCTAGAGTGTAGAAATAGTCGAAACTATTGTTTATTTCATAGG